CTCCTTGGGTTTGCTTCGCTCTTCCCTTCCAGCTTTCGGCGGAATGCTGACAAGCTGGGTTACGCCACTAGCTGCCGATGACACTTTCGCCATGTAACCGCTGAACACATTCAAGTCAACTACCGGAACCTGCTCCTGATAGAGCGCCCAACTGAATTTCGCTGTTGCTGGTAGTTTGTCGACCAGTTCTTGTAGTAGGATGGGGTTTGACAAATGCCTTTCCAATCCGACTGCTTTCAAGTGGCCGCATAGATTTTGCACCACTAGTCCGAAACTCACCAGTGTCTCCAATCGATCCGCCCGTGGAGCTGGAGTTGCCCTCACCTTAGCGATCATATTGTTGACGATCTGTTCCGGACGACCATACAGTTGCTGAAGTGTCGACAAAATTTGAGGCACCGTTGACGGGTGGAGCAAAAAGCTGCTGACTGCATCTTTGGCGGAACTTCTAAGGCTACGCTGCAGCCGCAGAAGGTTTTCTGCGTTGGAGTAGCCGCAAATCTTCGTCGAATGCTGGTAGCTGCTTATAAAAAGCGGCCAATCTACAGGATCACCAGAGAAGATTGGCAACTCCTTAGTGACCACTTGCCTGGCTGCCAATTGTTGAGACGATGGTCCAACTGTCAGATTCGGTACAAAACGTTGATTCGGAATCCACTGTGGATGAACTTGCGGAAACCCAGGGTCCCCAAAGCTTTCCTGTCGACTACTTGGAAAACCTTCGTTAACAAAGGGCGAAGGAGGTGGTGGAAAAGGAGGAGTATGATGCCGACTGTTCCCTGAATTATCTACCCTAGGCCTTCCAGAACTTATGTTTGGGTAAGCTAATTCTGGACTATTGTTGCCACTTACCGACGATTGACCTTCGTTACGTGTTTGAACGACATCTTCCAACTGCTGAACTTCGTCACGTAACGCCCAGTAGTCCTTTTCCGCTTTACTTCGCAGACGAATCGCTTCTTGCTCCCGTTGACAAGTGACTACTAGTTGGGACTGCAACTGCTGTTCCGTAGCCCGCAGACGCTGGATCTCACTCTCTAGCTCTGCATTCTGCCTCTGAATTGTTGCCTGTTCCCGATTCCGATGTTCGAGTTGAATCCGCAAATCCGCTTCCGATTGACGAATCCGTTGCAGTTCTTCGACGTGTTGGTTTTCCAGGTATTTGATGGTGTTCTGAAGCGCTGATAGCTGACGACCGCGACTTTCGAGCTGAGTACGCAGACCTTCTTCCGATCCCTGCATCCGCTTCGTTTCCTCGTCGTACTGTGCTTGCAAAACCTTCAACCGGTTAACCAGCTCCAACTCTCGCTTACGTCTTGTTTCCATCTCCAACTCGTACTTCGTCTTCAGTTCTTGGATATACTCCACACTTCGTAGCAACTCGACAGCATGCTGGTTTCGAAGTTTCCCGGTTTCGGAGCTCCATTTTTCGTATGATGGTATGTCAATACGTTTCGCTTTCGGGACAGCGCCGGTCTTCGAAGTAGTCGCTATACTGTCCTTTTCTTCGAGAAGATCGATGAAGGGCTTCAGATCGACGAATGGCATATCGGTTCGATCTTTTCTATCAAGCTTCACCACGGCCAATCCAAGAGCGCCTTCGATAGAATCCTCCGAATCCTCGCCAATCGTGACACTTCCTTCAGTTCTTGGGATTGATTCCACCTCTAATCCCTCGCCAAACGTTTTAGGAACAGCAGATTCCGAAACCTTATTTGGTGTCGATGAGCAGTGCACTCCCTGCGCTACGCCGGATGCCTTTTGACGTTGATTGTCATCTACAGATGTTGGCACAGGCGTCTGACTAACGACGACCTTACCGGAACTCTCGGCTGCCTTGTTCTGCTTCACCCAATCTTCCGTCCTTCGCGCACTCCTCTGGCTACTTCGCAAGCTGCGTACACTTTTTGCATCTTCTTCGTCTTGCCGGTTTAGCAATTCGTGTTTCTGAGCAATAAACTGCTTGCCACGCTCGAGCTTTTCTCGAAGTTCCTTCTCGTTCAACGCTCTCTCCATGTTGATCTTCTCCTGGCTCAGCTCATCGATTAACCTGCGCTCTTCTTCCAGACGATTCAACTCACGACTTGTTCTAGCCCTGCGAGCGCTAGAAGTGCTCGAAATTCCACTGGCAATACTCAGTGCTGGGTCAGGAATACGAGGAACGCAGGTCGTGCAAGAGAAACTAGCCGTACGTACCGTAGCAGTGTTGACGTTGGCACACGAAAAATGGTACCACCTGTTACAGTTCTGGCACTCAACCATAAACCGCTCAGCGTCATTTGACCGCTCACATCCACCGCATTCACGGTTCTCACCTCCACCGTTGTCCACAATCGATGCCAAGAACGAATCTTCCGAAGAACGATTCGACACCTTATCGTCTTCTTCGGTCTGGAGGTTAGCATTTACCTGCTCAATGGCCCTCCTCGTTCGCAACCGTGTTTGCCGAACATTCGACGGGAAATCCATCTCACTTCGGATGAATTCTTTAAGAATCTGTTGCGACAGATTTTCTCGGAGTTCTTCCAGCAAAAAACAACTCAGAGTTGAGTGTATATTAGCTTAAAGCTAGAATGCATTTATTATTATTAAGAAAGCTTTAGAAACAATTTGTGTAATCTTACTCACAATTCAGTCTCCGTTTTATGTGTTTAATATATGTCACAACAGTTCGTGAAATTCTTATTATTATTCTGTAATTAGTTTTATGTTTAGTAATTTAATGTAGGTATAAATTCAAATAAATCACCTTATTATTTTAACTAATTCTTCCGCTTTGCTCAAATATTAACTTTCCTATCACTGTATCATAAGATTTGTTTACATTCTTTTATCTCATATCCCTTATCAGTCCTTATTGTTCTCCCTCTCTCTAATCTGTCCATCATCACGTTTGACGGCTTGGGTTCACAGATCAACCGTTTGGTATAATGTGGCGCGTTAGCTACCACTACTGGTAACCGATACAAGGGGCTGTTGCGGCGAACATTAAGTATTACATAATTTTGTTTAGATCATAATCTTTACATATCTAGAATAAACAATACGGATGCAACGTAAAATGAAGGCATACAATCTCTGATCACGTCTTCCTTCGGAACGGCTTGTTAGTCCCCGGTCCATGAGATGATGGGTCGATAAGTAGGGAGGTGTGGGAGTCCTCCCTGGCGTCGGTAGCATTAATACTCAGAAGGTAGAACAAGATCGACGGAAAGCAAATCAAGGAAAAACAGCGTTAAATGAAAAAGTTACGGGCTTTTTTCGGTGTCCGTTTATAAAGTGAACAGTCCTTACTGTGAAAAATTAATCTGTGCTTAAGTAGGTCACTATTCCCAAATTAGCTCCATGTTTAAGTTTAAGCGATGAAGAACAATGAGGTGGACCACACAATGGTTGCTACCGGATTGGGCGATCTTCAGAGAAATATCGATCTTGACGGATCGATCTTATATTTGGCTCTAGAATCGATCCACTGACTAAATCGGTACCAAAGAATCGACCTTTAGGAGATCGATTTTTTTATTTTTATTTTAATACGCTTGTTTACGTTGGTACCCCAAGAATTTATTTCTTGTATAATATTCAATTAAATTTTGCCGTGCCGGTTAGGAGCAATGAGCCTAGGAGAGAGGTAGTGCAAACTATCATATGTTGCTGTATTCGTAAATATCGGAAACGTAAATAGTGATGTCATTGTAGGGAGCTATGCTGATGTTGACGTTATGTTCGTTAAATTTACCACGCAGTCTGGGGTGAGAGTAAATCGTTTTTTCGATGTAAATACACTTAAAAATTTACCACCTATTTTTTAAGATCGAAAAAATCGAAAGAAGAGATCGATTTTTTCGATCTTTTCGTGAACAAAGAATCGATCCGAAAAATCGGAAATCAGGATGAAAAAGATCGATCTTCCCAGATCCAAGATCGCCCAATTCTAAAATAGATGATCGCATGACACATATCGAGAATGGCCTGCTTCTGTCGACAGCCAAGTAAACACTCCTTGAAGAATCTTTCCTGATTGTTATGTGAAGAGATTCATCGGATCTCAATGTAAAATTCCAATGAGTTCTGAGGAACATTTCATGTTATTTACGAGCAGTGGTCCATGACAATTAACTATTTCTTTTGCTGCTAGTTCTAGATTTTTTTCGACACACAACTTAACACATTTTGTTCTAATTAAGTTATCTGGCAAGTTCAGAGAATAAGGGCTTTAGCCTCACATATGTGTATGTTAAGGGTCCCAACAGCGTAAGGATTTATTAGGAATGTTTATTAGAAAGTTATGAGCTTGACAATCAATATTTTAAGCATTACACAATTTTGTTTAGATCATAATCTTTACATATCTAGAATAAAAAATACGGATGCAACGTAAAATGAAGGCATACAATATCTGATCACGTCTTCCTTCGGAAGGGAAGTAAAGCCGTTACCCCGGTCCATGAGATGATGGGTCGATAAGTAGGGAGGTGTGGGAGTCCTCCCTGTCGTCCCTGTCCTCCCTGTCGTCGGTAGCATTATAGGTCATACTCAGAAGGGAGAACAAGATCGACGGAAAGCAAATCAAGGAAAAACAGCGTTAAATGAAAAAGTTACGGGCTTTTTTCGGCGTCCGTTTATAAAGTGAACAGTCTTTACTGTGAAAAATTAATATGTGCTTAAGTAGGTCACTATTCCCAAATTAGCTCCATAAGTTTAATTTTGTATTTCAATTTGCGCTTATCCACAGCTCATTAATGGTAGGTGCTATCGACCACGCGCCTCCATTCGATGAATCATTATCCGTAGGTTTTGACTCTAGCTGGGGGTGCGCATTTTCACTTCTCCCTTTCACCTCTCCCAGGAGGACAGAGGAAAATTAAAAAAAAAACACGCGACCGCTAGTTAGTATCGTAAACTACTGTGAAGGATGCATTTCAACGAACATGGAAACCTGAAAACGACCTCTCTTCCCAAGAAATTACCTGGTATCGAAAAATTGGGGAAACACTCACCTAAATCAGGCATCGAACTAGAAGGCTCCTCGTGAGCGCTCTTCATCTTGGGCATCATGCCGCCACCACCATTCCCACCCATGCTGCCACTACCGGCACCCTGTGGGGGTGGTGGGGGTGGAGGCTGCATCGATGTCACGTGGTGCTGTTGCTGTTGATGCTGATGTTGCGACTGATGGTGATGGTGATGATGATGTTGCTGCTGTTGTTGCTGAGCCACCATAAGCGTTGCCGGAGGTGGGGGCAAATGCTGTTTACTACTAGACACCGCGGAATGCGGAGGAGCATCGATTATGATGGTGTTGGTGGCAGTAGAGTGATGTAGTGGGGGTGGAGGCCTACAAGGATTGCTATCACCTCCGCTACTGCCGGCGTTGGTTATGATTAGACCATTCGAATTCGGAGAAGGCGACATTACAGGACGATGCGGTGAATCCTGATGCGGGTGGTGAGATGGAGACGCATGGTTATGATGAAGGTCATAGAAACGACCATCCCGTATGACGTGTACTTCCTGTGCCTGAATAGGTGCCACATTTTCACATGGCTTATTCGAAGACTTTGCGATTATTTGAATCCTGGCCCGATCCTGCTGTTGGTGATGACCATTGGAGGTCACCATCGAGGATGACGCAGATGCCGATTGGGGAACGCCAATTGCTAGTTTGACAGATTTCTTCGGCTCCGCACTACGTGGTGAATACATTATTCGCTGGTTGTCACCTATCACGAATGTCTTTATTTCCAGTGAATCCTTCTCGTCCTGAGCGAGTTTGTTTAAGCACTGCATTTTACTAGATAATTTTCTTCTGTAATTACGACACTGGCACTGGCTCTGACCGAGCGACACACTATTCTACATTCTCCTTTTCTCTCTTTTGCATCCACGAACTTAAAAAGAATTATTGATAAATTAGAGGCCTTTCGTGAAAATAAGGAGCTGAACTTGGCCTCTGTCTCGGTTCGGAAAAAATAATTCAACATTCAAACACACACGAGTTTTTTTCTCACCTCACTCACCACCACATAGCAGTAGGCACGGATAAATCGAATATTTTCACCATACTTTGTGTGCTCTCGTTGTTTTTTGCTCCCCTTCCTGCTCGCTTACTCTGATGTGCGAACCGAGCGCGCGAGTTCAAGGTCAATATTTTCGGAAACTCAAAATAAGATCTGCTGCCGCCTGTGTGTACACCAAAACATACACACCGATGTCAGAGTGCTGTTGACTTGTAAATCACGCATTAAACACAAAAATAAAACCAGCACATAAACACACTGAACCAGCCAGCCAGCCTACTCGGTTGAGAGGGAGCACGTACATATAGAACGAAACCCAAAGCGTATATATGTCACTGACACCGAGAGAGGGCCAACACTCACGAAACAAAAACAACAACAACGCCCGTCGTATGCACCGAGCACTCACTCATACACCTTCAAGTGGGGTGGTATCACATTTCAGTCGAGCACCCTTCCGACTTACAGCAACGATAAACTGTGGCAATAGAACTCGCTATCCCTTTACTTACAACTCAGGACCAGTTCACTCGGTTACTGGCATTAATGTGGTCGAACGAACTCAGCATGCCATGAACCAGCAAAGGGTTCTCACGTCATGCTCGCGTGCTGGTTGCTATGACGGTAGTCCTTGGACGTATCCTTCACAGTCTAATTCAAGGCCTTCTGCGCGCTCACTTCGAACACATTTCTTTTCCTTCCTTCGTTTCAATCCATGCCCTTTCCCAACCTGCGTCCATGAGCTAGTTCACGTTCAATGTCAATTTCGAGACTTTTTCTTCGATCTAATCGCTTTTCCGCTCCAAACCACAGCCCACCATAATTTTCACCGGGCGTTCACGGTTCCGTCACACTCGTGCCACCCATTTTCGTTCATACTATCATGATTTATTAATATTCACCGCCTGAAAACCATCGAAACGACTCATCTGCGATGTGACCATTTGACGTTTGCGAGCTGAACACACGAACCAATAGCGTCAATACTACATGTGCACTTTTGTTTCTGTTATTATTTTCCTACACTGGGGAATCCACGCCGTTCTGTTTTGCCGTTTCGAGTGCGAGCCAAAAATCGCGAAATCGCGCTCCTCTGCCCTGCTGCTGCTGTCGCTGCTGCTCGCTGCACGCTGAGTACGAAATTCTAAAAAAAGACACGGGAAATAATTTTCATGGTCAACATTTCACCTTGAATAAGTTTATTACTTTTATGATTGAATTCGCGAGCTGCGAGAGTTTTGCACATGTAGAGGAGTGTCTCAGATACGAACGATTTTACACAAGCAAACCATGATCGGTGGTCGCGTCCGTCGCATGGCCTGCTGGCTGGTTGGTTGATACCATCAGCAGTTCCGTGCTACACTATGCGAACGGCCCTCAGTGACTGTATAGAATTTGCTGTGTACGGCGGCGGTGAGCAGATGAGTGTATACTAAATCGACGGCCATCAGGGATGTAGCAGCCCTGGTTAGTGGTTGCAGGTGTTATTCAATATAGCAAGACTGCTACCAAAGAACAATCAATTGCGACAGAATTAATAGTTTATTTTCAACCCACTTCAAAAGTTGTTCGCTAAGAGGTTCAATTACATTATAGAAATTTTAACAAAAAAGTAACTGAAATTATTTTGAGAAATTTCTCAGAACTATAAAATACAAAGCTTTGCCGAAGAAACTATCCTTGTAAGCCGCTCCGTTCAAAATATAGATTTGAATGCCACCTATGCGGCAGAAATACGAACTAATCAGAAACAACCAAAAACTGGCTCTTTGTTAATTAAACGACTTTGTCGAAAACTGCAAATCTGTAGGATGCATACCCAAGGCGCTAGAGGTTTTGGCCACGCTACCGGGATCGCTGCCCCACTGTGCGTCGTGATCGGGCTACTCTGTCCACTTTCAAACTTTGTTGAATCAAATGAAGTAGATTATAGAATCGATTGAATGTATATTCTTGTTACTGGGACTGCTTTGACAGAATTTGGACAAATTCAGCTGTCGAACCCTTACATTTAGGTTGAATCCTTCATTTTCTCAATTTTGACGTTCTTGTTCTATGGGATTTGACGTGCTATGCTGAATCAATAGGAAAACTAACAGATTGCTTGGATATTCGATTTTCATGTTGGTATTTGCGTATGTTCAGTAATACCTTTCTGGACGACCAGTTTTTTTTTCCTTTATAAGGTCATTGGTTGGTTTGCCTTTCTGGACAACTAGGACCACAGTTGGAGCGGTGTATTTAAGCGAAATAAAAAAAAACTCCCACAGTAATTCAACATCCCCATTACAAACTTCATTATCCATTATCGCGATCCCTATACCTTTATTAACTATGAATCTACCAATCGGTAAAAAATCCAAAATGAAACACCCTCAAGGACATGGGTCATCAGATCCAAATGACACTTTTGCTTGCAGTTGAGATTGCTCGTATTCTCTGCTGAGCAGCAAAGTTTTTCACTGTTCACTGGCTCCCTCGCATTTCTTTTTCCATGCCGTGGAGGGAATTTTATTGGAAATCAAATTAGATAAATTTGTCCGTGCGCACATATTTTCAAAAATAAACTTAGAAGGTTTGTTCAATCTTCTGATTAGATTCCAATGTGCTTTGAAAACCTGAATTAATTTTTTTTCTTGAATGTGAAAATTTGAAACATGGCCGTTATTAGATTAATTGTCCACAATAACAGTGAATTTTAAATCACTGAATTGATTGTTAATTATTATTTTTTCTTTATTTAGGAGTAATCTCATACTAAAAATCAAGTTCTCCGTTTATCGGTTGTACCAGAATAATGTTTTTGATTATGTGTTTGCTTGATATGCTTTTATAGTACGCGCTAAAAATTCTTTAAAAATCCTTAAAGCACACACTTAGTTTAGTTTGTTGGCAGTTTTTGCCTAAATTAGCACAATCGAGCTGCCACAATAGTTGCTTAGGTTTCAGCAAAAGTGACGTTTGATTGTTCAATCTAGGAAAATATGTCGCTTCATCTCAGCAAGCAAAACGTAATTTATGCTGAGATGTCATTAAAACTTGTTGCTGAGCACTACTCGCTATTCCAAAACTATCAAAATTTGAGTAGAATCCACTCAGATCGGTCAAAACTAAACCTACCTAAAAATGGGTTAACTAAGTTGAGAGAGACGTTTTGACAAATGGAAAACATCGATCGAATTCAGGTCGATGTTCACCATTTGTCAGTTTGCCAGTTCTGACTAAGTTTACCCATTTTAGAGTAGGTTCAGTTAATAATAAATAATAATAATAATAATAATAATAAGATGCTTATGTTACGTTCCAAGATTGCAAATCCTTATTTCAACTAAAACAATGACACCCTAATGAATAATGACACCCTAAGATATAATGATCACATGTTTTACGTTTAAATTACACGAAGAGGTTGCAAAGTATATGTAAAGTATATGGTCATATTTTCTAATAATTCCATTAATCCGAAAATCATTAGAAATTAGTATTTTCAACCTTACTGCGATCACACTATAGCCTATATCACGTATTATAGAGTACAGTGGGTTCTCGATTCTGGCAACAAAACTTCTCCATCTATGTTGCCATGAGAACTGAAATGGCGTAATATCATTAACAAACAGTCCCCTCAGACTATAGCTGGTATTCTGTAATATAAGCTAACGTAATAAATCAAAATACCGTATGCGTGATAATGTTTGCACCATCTTACAAATAAGGTTCCCGTTTCACCTGTGCATATAATGCCTTGGTTTTCTTTGCATGCACGTAACCTATAGCTCATACCGTAGTAGGCTGTGTATAAAAGAAAATGATTTACTTAGTTTGACAGTTGCACCATGACGAAGTGGCAGCGTATTCGTGATTTGTCCCACGCGCAAATGTCGCAAAAAGACATTTCAATCGCCGTGGAAGCGTCCCGGTGGACCGTCAAAAGGGGTTTAGACCGAGAAAAGAAAAGACAACTATCCGCGAAGGTGGCCACAGGTCGTCCGAGGTCAGCTCGGGTTCCGAGGTTTATCGCTGCTATCAAAAGGAAGATTCGGGTGAATCCAGTACGTTCAATAAGGAAAATGGCTAAGGAACACGGGATCAGTGACTTTATGGAAGATCGTAAAGGAAGATTGCGGAGCGAAGTCGAGGGCACGGAAAAAAAACTCACATGATTACCAACCGCATCCGGGAGCTACCAGTCGAACGATGCAAGAAATTCTTGAACTTCCTTAAGCGAAAAAATACGGTAATCCTGTTCACCGATGTTTAGTCCATTGCAGAATTTATGTATGGGCCCAAATTAGGGGCATTTAGGCCGACATTACATCCATTTCCCCTATATTAGTTCTCTTCCGGTAAAAGACGTGGCCGACGAGCACAAGAACGTGTATCTGACCAAGCATCCTGCTAGCGTTATGGTGTTTGGATTGGTTACTTCCGATGGCAAAAAAATGGACCCTGTGTTCATTCCAGAAGGCGACAAGGTCAACACGGAGGTCTGCATCGGGATTTTAAGTAAGTATGTTCTTCCGTGGATCAAAAAACAGTACGGTCCGAAGCCTTCTTCTTCTTCTTATTCGCATTTCAAGCTTATTGCATACGCATTAAAGCTTATTGCGTGCTCTCAACTAGATGCACTTCCACAGTTATTAATTGAGAGCTTTCGATGCCTGTACCATTTTTGCATTGGTATAATTGTGTGGCAAGTCCAATCATACTTCTATGCCCAGGGAAGTCGAGAAATTTTCCAACCCGAAAAATTCCTAGACCGGACCGGGAATTGAACCCAGCCACCTCCAGCATGGTCTTGCTTTGTAGCTGCGCCTTTACCGACTGAGCTAAGGGAGGCCCCAAGCCACATGTTGTATTTCAACAAGATGGGGCTCCGTGCCACACCTCGAACCGCACTCAGAAGTGGTTGCAGGAACATCTTCCGTTCTGGGCGAAGGATATGTGGCTGCCATCCAGCCCCGATCTTAATCCGCTGGATTACTCAATATGGCGCGTCATGAAGGCCAAGGTCTGTTCTAAACGCCACCCGAGTACAGTAAGCCTCAGACAAACATTGACCCGTACCTGGAGAGAAATGGATCTAAACTACATTATTAGAACCTGCCGTGCATTCCGAAAGCGTGTGGAGGCCGTTATTGCAGCAAGTGGAAACTCGATCGATGATTATCATAGTTTAAGACTCTGAGAAACATCCCCCCTTTGAATAAATAAAAAAAAAAATCGAAAACGAAATTTTTGAGAATTTTTTTAAATTTTGACATTGCTCAATGGTGCAAACATTATCACGCATACGGTATATATAGAACAAACAATATTCAGTACAAAAAGCTCTATCTTTTACATGTCCATTAAGAACCCGATTTTGTCAACCCCTTTGTAGAAAATCTTTTCTCATGTTCTACGAAGCCCATGCGATTGTTCATTGGTTTTATTGTACCACAGTATACCTTAAACATCCAGCATGAAGATGAATGAAAAAGATTTGGAAATACGGTTATGTGAAATTATTGCTGCACTGACAAAATCGGGTCATTAGTTTTTGCAAATACTTTAATTTTTTCGTTGATATTTTGAAACATTTGCAATTATACCTATGTTGACTTGTTCCTTGGTTTTAACTTGTTTTGCGTTCCACAGAGTTTATTATATGAAAATATTTAACCCAGTTTCCTGCAAACCCTTCCTTTGACATTAAAAATGCTTACATAAATTAGAAACATTGATTTTGATTCGCCAGCGTTGTGTATGTTTACATTAAGACCTGATTGTTTCCAAAATCGAGATATCACTGTAAAATATTAAATGAGCATTTACAAGATAGGCTATATTACGTAATAGCAGTTATAGTCTGAACGTAGTATAAGAGAGTAATTTCATCAAATGTAGTATAACTTTTCAAAAAATACAATTTCAGAATTACAATTGATGTGTTGCCATACACAAATATGACTCAAGACATGCCAAAATCGAGAGCCATCTGTTATTATCGAAAGCCATACCAGAGAAAACTTTATGACGATGCTAACATCAATCCTAATATAGGTTGTATTGTGACCGCGGTATTTCTCTTTTATACATTACCCAACAAAAATCCTCTTATCTTAACTTCCACTGCTAAGGACTTCAAGTAAACACTTCAAAACAAAAGCTTTGCGTCGTCTACGCCCCCACCAACAAACTACAACCCTGTCTTTGAGTTCTCCGTCTCACAAAAACAAAAAGCATAGTTTTGTCGTTTGACTTTATCACTCCTTCTGCTCCTCTCTGTGCAAACATCTCGCACTCACTTATCCCACTTTCAGCCACTAAATGCAAAAACTAGAATTCTGCTCACCTCACTGCTCTCGTCAACAAGTTCACACGTAAAGAACGCCGATCAAAGCTCAATCCGCTCCTCTTTCGCCACTCCGTTCGCAGGCAGCAGCAGCTTATCCTATTGGCGCTCTGTTTACACTAATTGACGTAGGCATACGCGAGGATTAGTCTTCGTAGAGTCGCACTTGTCTCATTAGCATTTCTATCAGTTGCTTTCACACACCGTCTACACATTCCAGGGGGAGTCTTGGACTTCTCCAGATCGATTTTAGTCCACCAACGCACACAGGTTCTCTACAGCAACACACAGTCCATAAAAGTCCAAGGACACAAGCTGCCAACCAGCAACCCGCAGCAGCACACACTGTATCGCCAAATATCCAGGAAGCGATTTCACTCACAGGGAAGCACTGCCGCTCACTCTTCAAAGGATCAAAGTAGTCCACGGGAATATCCTAGTAGTCCTTGCGGGCAGGGAAACCTTTGATTTTCTATTCGTTAATGAGTATTGTCAGTTTCCATTAATAAAAAAAAACATTCGCAAATCTCAAAGAAAACCGAAACCGAACAACACACGTAGAACAAGGAGTTTCGAAAGTACACGAACAGAAGTTGTTTGAGTTACAAGTGGATTCTTAACAGGGAAGAACGCGAGCGGTGTTCGCGAGACCAACCAAAGTACCAACCAATTCACCCAAAAGATTTCCCTTTACTGTCGCTTTCATTGAAAATGAATAGGTGATGTACCACCACACAGTCTGACCGACCTAACAAACATTCCGGTCTCCCGGCACTTGCAGAGACGACGGCCACTGCGACGACGACAAAACATGCAGAGAGAACCCAATCGACCCGCTCGAGTTCTCTCGCACTCGTTCTCTTCTCCGCACCGACCGTTTTGTACATAAGAACACTTCCCACTTCCCCCTGGTTCGGAGCACAATGAGGAATGAAGGGGCTTTTCGGGAGCACCAACACTGCTCCAGAGTTATAGTGTCTGCACCCTCCCAACTATAACCTCCAGAACCCACCGACCGGCGACCGACGACCGGCACATGAGAGTGTACTGGCTGATTGTGGAGTGAGAACTCACCGTCGTCGTTCGTCGGGAGTCAGAGTTGCTGTGTGTGGATGGATTTTTACTTTTCTTTCAGCGAGAAAACGAAAGGGAGAAAAACTGCACTCGCTTGCTTTGTTTTGATTGCATCACTGAGCCCGTCTGCACGACGACTAGCCTACTATACTGACCTATAGTTGGAGATACCAACAGTGACAGACGCTGTTCTAATGTCTGAGCGCTAATGCTATTAGGAGGACCTCATAAGGCGGAAGTTGTTTACAAATATGTTTGGCTGATTGGATTGTTTTCACTTTCGTACTCTGTTTGTCATTCGGTTCCAACAGGCAAAAAAGTGACGATGTTTTTGGTAGGTGTGTTGTAAATTGCGCAGTTCTCCCGGTACTCGACTTAGAAAGCTTACCAGATGTAAAATTAGTATGCTATGTTACTGCCAAAAACCAACTCAACAATTTGCGTACTTAAAATAGATTGAATTGAATGTATATATAAATGAAACATTTTACCACATTACTGTCAATAGATGCTTGAATATGTGTGGAACGTAAATATGATTGAACAGTTCATTTTAATCTAAAGATTCAAACTGACATAACAACAACGGAGATAATCAGTTTGCAGCATCGATAGTTGCGCTGTTTCGAAGAAATAAAACAAACTACCCATTTATATGACTTTGTTTGTGTAATTTGTACAGTCCATGTGGGATAATCTTGCTAGGAAATTTCGTAAAATTGTTAGTTATGGGCAATGATTCACATTTTTGATAAAATTCGGCAATTTTGAATTTCGTAAAATAATAAAAAAATGTTGCTCTGAAACGGCATTTCTAATCGAAATAACGTCTGACACAATGGTAGAGAAAAATAAAGTCTTTCTTGGACAAATGAACAAAACAGGTTTTTTTTTAAAGTAAAAAATCTATCTCCTATCTACACAGCAAAAAAATAATTTTGATATCACATCAAAGTGGATGCACTACAATCATGTCGAAAATTTCATGTAATTTGTATGACCACATAAATAAACAAATGCAGTAAAAGCAGCGTAATGTCAGTTCATGCATTGTATTAATGATAATTTTGTCCTTTTTAGCATATTTTCGACATGATTGTAGTGCATCCACTTTGACGTGATATCAAAATTATTTTTTTGCTGTGTATCTATCCTATCTTCTATATATATAAAAATGAATTTCTGTCTGTCTGTCTGTCTGTCTGTCTGTCTGTCTGTCTGTCTGTCTGACCCTTATAGACTCGGAAACTACTGAACCGATTGGCGTGAACATTTGTATACAGGGGTTTTTGGGGCCGTGGAAGGTTCTTATGATGGTTTGAGACCCCTCCCCCTTTTGTAAAGGGGGGCTCCCCAACTCGGGGGCAACTTGACAGCTCCAGTATATTGCCAGTGTACCCCGACAATTTGGTTCTGGTGGTTCTGTCAAACTCACAAATTTCAGGAGTGTTATCTGAAAAGGGCGAATGCGGAAAAGATGTACAGTAAACAAAATTAAAGTTTAAAATTCATCTTATTGTCGCGCGCTCACCAAACCACACACGTGACGTTAGCAACAGTGATGCCTGCTAAACATTTCGCTTTGATTCTCAGTAGTATGCATAATACATAATCAGTTTATGAAACTTTTTTTTTTTTATTTTGTGTACCGTATGTATTTGAGCAGTACAGAACCAAAAACTTAAACATATGATCTGTAAACTGTAAACGTATTATGTAATATATGATTGCCATCGAATTAATTGGAACAAATGAGAATTGTGTTAAATGAATTTTCAGTTTAGTTTCAGAAGTCTTGCATATCAGAAGAATACATAAGATTAAAAGAATAGAGAAACACAGCAAAGTAAATTTCTGTTTATTTATACGCCCTATGGTAAAACTTTATCGCAACACTATGATCAAGAGCAAAATAAAATTGAAGGCAGCAAAGTATTTTATTGTCATTTGATTATATGAGAAAATGAACTTCCATCAATCGGTTTCAATTTGTTTGGATTATTAATAATAAATTCGCTCTTATCATATAGCATTCTTGCCTGTTGTTTGACATCCACACATGGAGAAACAAAAAGTTGGATTCCCATAGAGAAATGCCATAGCGGCGGTGAAGGACAATCCCTTTGTTTATGTTGAGTGGCGACATCTACTATTTGCAAGTGGGTACGTGAAATTAAGGTTATCTGTCACCTTGCCGGGGGCTTGGGGCTCCCATACAAATGAAACAGAAATTTCTGCATAACTCGAGAACTAATCAAGCAAATGGAACCAAATTAGGCATGTGGGGGCGAGTGTGGGGGTATAAGGAGATAATCATAGGGGGAACCCCCTTAGATAATAGGGGGGGGGGGGCTACGTACAATATAGCATGCTTTTTTTTTAAATCGGCGCATAAACTCAAGCTAATATTGAATCCCGAGCAAGACCGGGCACACTCAGCTAGTATATAATAAAACCCATGTCCATGTCCGATGCTTATGAAAAATGCAAACTTTATAAATTATTAGTAAAGAATATATTTTTGAGAGCAGTTCCTATATTTTCACTTTCTTCGATTTTTTTTTTTTGAGCCAGCATGAAAATTCTTAATAACATTTTGGATTTTCAACCAAAACGTATAAAATTTTCCAAAACGTATAATATTTATTAACAGTTATAATACTATATGTACCTGCACAATTTGTGGCGAAAGTGCGAACAAGCTCGTTTTTCGGCACCGAGTCAGGCATGCTGTGTCACATCATCGATATGCATTTTCAGGTTTGGTATTATAACAGTTATCATAATTTTATGTCAAAGTTAACCCAACTGAGTACTTACATGAACGTTTTAGAACAATGGAACCATCGAAAATCTTGCCATCAATATTAATGATGTTTTTCTACCAACATAATTTGAAATTATCGGAGCTTCTTATGATTTCGTCATCTTTTCTCTTGAATTTATTTAATGAAATGGAAGTAAGATTTTAGCTGGTTCTTATGCATCGACTAATTTAGCTAAATACAATTTCCTGAGACTTTTTTCCAGGAAAATTTATATGAAACCTGTATATTTTTGAGAAAATTACAACTTTATTTCTACAAATGTATTTAAAACATGACAATCAGTTTTAAAAGAACAATCAAAACCATCAGAAGTTTAAGTTCAACATTTACTAAAGTTTACTAAGTCTAAGATCTCATCAAAAAAAGAAGCCTTAAAGTTTCGATCTCCAAGTCCAAGATCTTGAGAAATTTCAAAGTGCCAGAATTCCAGAATTAAAAGAATTAAGTCTCAGGCATTTGATTAATTTCAAATTTGAAATTTAAAAACCATTTCACAGTTCGGCATTTTAAATATTGTTATTGGTTTTGGAACTCGAAAATTTCTAATATGCGAAATTTGTTCATGTTCTGAATATTTAAGTTTGAATCAAATTCTAAGCATAAAATCAAAGCCTAAGAATTTCATTTTTTTCCAAATCAGAATGATGAATCATGATTTTTGTTTTGGCGTCCAGGATCTCTAAATGTTTATGAAAAAATGCTTTATAATACTCTCTTGAAGGAGTACAGAAGAAGAGAACACTCTCTGAATTCACTCTACAATGTTCTTCATAATATTAATAGTTCTTGCAGTGTATTACCTAGCAGTTCCAAGAAAAAAACTCCTGAAAAAGTTCATTAGTAGTTCTCAGCATTCAATTATTCTCCTGAAATTCCAATGGAATTCCTTTTTATAAAATCCTTGGAACTCTCTTTTGAGTTTTCTAAAACTTATCACCGGATTATCCTTGGAATACTTCTCGGAATTTCTTTGCAATTTTCTTATCCGGAGCTATCCTCGGAATTCGGAATTCAATTCCCTTTGAATTTTCCTTAGAATTCTTTCGGAATATTTCTATGAAATCCATAAGAAATATTTTCAGAATTTGCGTTGAATTCACTTCAGAATTGCCTTTGAATATCTCCTATGAATTCACTTGCAGTTCTCCTCAAAATTTGTTCGGCATTCAATTCTTAAGAAATTCATTGCTATTATTTTCAGAACTTTCGTTGATTTCATGTGGAGTTCCAAAC